CTGCCACCCCAGACAGCTTGCATCCCCTCTGCCCAAGACACGCCAATCTAAGACCTGCCCCGGGGTGTGTCACCCATGCTGCGGTCACCTCTTCAACAGAGGTGATAGTGAGTGACCAGTCACTCGGGCCTGGTGAAAAGAGGAGACTTCTCGGAAGAGGTGCAGGGCGCTGTCCCGCCAGAGAGACAAGCGTGCAACAGGAGAGCCAAGGGAGGGCTTTGCCCTGGCAATCAATCAGCAGTGACTACGGCCAACGCAAGAGTTGGAAAACAGGCTCAGGGCCGGGGATTTAGCTCAGTGGTTCTGCCACCTGCCTTGCAAGCAAAAGGACCCAGGTTCGATCCCTGGTACCAAAAAAAAAAAAAAGAAAAGAAAGGAAAAACAGGCTTAGAGCTCCCTGCACATCTAAAGCAGTAACAGGCCTCAAAGCTCAAAGGTGTGGGTGTGTGACTCAGACACTCTGAAGGCATCTGAAACACTCCGTACCAGCCCAGGGACACTCACTGTGTGTCTGTGCGCAGAGCCATGCTTCCTGAAGGTGACAGTCCCTGCCCTTACCCTCCTGTCCCATCCCGTCCCGTCCCCAAGAGTGCCCATGCAAGCCTCCTCTGCCAAGGGTGACAGCAACCAGCAACCCCAGTCCTGGTGGGGACTAAGACAATGCTGCTGCTGCTGCCACCTTGGAGACCGAGGCCCAGGCCTCACACATGCTCTCTACCAGCGAGCCACCCCCAGCAGCCTATGACACGTCTTAAAACCTACTGAAGATACAGAATAAAAAGGAAAACCCATACATTAGAAAGAAAAAGGATATCAGAACAAGCAATCGCAAGTTGAATAAACATGGACACCATGGCCACGCCACACAGTCTGGAGACCCTCCTCTCCGCCGCCCCAGTCCTTACCTTACTAACATTGAGTGAAGCTAGGGGAGGAGGAGTTTCTGTCCGGTCATTAATTATTTCCACTTCTGAAACATACTGTAAGTTTATGAGCAGGATGTCTGCATGGTTGGGCTTTCCACTGGAAGAGGGACATTCTGGTAAGAAAATACAGTTAAGGAACACAGCCAGGAGAGGTACAATTCAAAGGGACACAGAAGGCCAGGTTCAACACAGCTTGTGGTGTGTGAAAGGCTCGCACGCGGCCCCCGGGCTCCTCATCACCTTCCTGCTGCCTAAACCCAAAACCAGAAGCCTCCCAAGGAGAAGCAAATACAGGCTGAACACCTCATGTCTGCTGCCTGTCTTGAAGCGTGGAAGAGCCAGCTTTTTCTGTTCTTGGTATAGCTTCCCCTGCATCTGCATAAGGCTTTCTCATGGTTTTGCAGATTTAAGATCTTCCAGATTGAGAAAATGACAGCACTGGATGGGAAGCTCAGCCCATGTGTCCCACCCAGCTCCGTCATCCATCCACCCATCCATTCACTCTTCAACCCTGTACTAAGAAGCTGGGCATGCTGGGAGGCTGAGGCAGGGGGACAGCGGAGTTCCAGGCCAGCCTGGGCTACACAGTGAGTTCCAGGCCAGCCTGGACTACGAACAAGACCCTGTCTCAAAAAAATAAATGAACAAAACCACGTACTAAGAGTCAGTTATATGCCAACGCAAAGAACAGTGAGCCCTCTTTCCAAGATAGCTGGAAAGAATTTAGTTTCAGTATCCTCTCGTTAAAAAATCAGAAAAAGCAACTGTTCTTGTAATTAATTTAAGACCTTTCCGAAGATAGGTACTACAACTAGTGGTTAAATGAATTAAAAGTACTTGACACTCAAAAGGCATCAGGCTCATTAGGAAACTTCCTTTTCAAACATGCCATAAAGCTGGGTGTGGTGATACACACCTGTCATCTCAGCCCTGGGAGGCTGAGGCAGAAAAATACAAGCTGGAGGCCAGCCTGGGCTACACAGAGTTCAAGGCCAGCCTAAACTGCATAGCGAGACCCCTGTCTCAAAATAAATAAAAAAAAATTAAAAAGGATATACCAAGATGCCATAAAAGATTACACTTCTCAAGAGAAAATTCTTTTTAATTAAAAATTCGAGTAAACCCACCTGTAGATCAAATAAAAGGGGAAGCAACGGGCACCTTTACTCCAGCCAGGAAGTGTCCCGAGACAGTCTGCCACAGTAATTCAGAAATCATTTCCACCTCGAAGGAGTAGGCCGCCTTTTCCCTTCGGGGAAACGCTGCCACTCGCAGACGCGAGGGCGAGTTATGGCAAAGTCAGGACTAGGGCAGCGCTGGCCGCGATCGCTGTCACCCGTGGCCCTCACGCGAGCCCCTGCGAGACGTGGCAAGGCCTCCCCACGGGGCAGCCCCGAAGCCCGGGAAGCCCTGGAATCGGCACGCACACTGGCACCGGCGCCAAAGTCTCCGGCCCAGAC